AAATAATTAACAATGCAAATAGTTTAATTATTTCAAGAAAATTAATCAATTATTTCAATATAAAATAACGTTTAAACCAAATAAAAATTGATTTGAAACAATATTCAATCTTATAAAACTTTAAAACAATATATTTGTGTTATGTTAAATGTTTTTTTTTGGCAGCTAAATTTCGCAATAATAGAAACATTTTAAATTAATGATTTTACTTTAAAAGTGATTAATTCATTAATTATATAATTAAGTTAATTAAATTAACGATAATAATGTTTGTTTATCCGATGTAAACGAAACAATTATTTACAACTACAAAATACATTTGTATCAAAACAATAATAATATAGTAATAGTTTCTTATAAAGTTTTAAAATAATTTGTTGAATTCAGATTAAATATATATTGACAATAGCTTAAAGATCCAAAGTTTTAATGTTTCCAAACGTTTATATTCATACCTCTGATTTCTTCAAAGATCGTATATTTTCTCATTTTTAGAATGCCAACTGTCAATTTAAAATATTTTGACATATATTTTGCAGTATGCCAACATTAGACATAAATATCACTACTTCGAAAAAATAAATATTGATTGAATTGAATTGAATACATTGTTGTTAGTTTGTTTGTTACAATTATACAATTATTTATAACCAAAAAATACTCTTTTTTAGAATGTCAACTGTCAATTTAAATTACAAATATTTTGACATTTATTTTTCAGTTCGCCAACATCATAAATAGATATCACTATAACAATAAATAAAATACTGGTAAAATTTATTTCATTTTTGTTTATATCAAAACAAATATAGTAATAATCTCTTATAAAGTTTCAACATAATTTGTTTGTTTGTTTCACGTTATAGGTTTCTTGACAAGAGATTAACGATCCAATATCGGAAACCTTTCAAATCAATCGTTAATCAGTAAAAGATTAAGTTTTAAGAATTTATTAAGAAATTGATTTTATAATTATTATATAATTAATGTAAATTATTATAAATAAATAGACTATATGAAAGTGCAAATATCTATATTTGGAGCAGCTTATTGTTATCTCTAATCGAATTGGCAACAAATAAATTAATATCAGGCACGTGAATTAAATGGAAAGGTTTATTTTTATCGCATGAAGGAATCGTAGTAAATATCGTTCTATCGATTAGATTGGGACACTTCAAGATCACGCAACTGAAACCACAGATCCTAGATACAAAAAAAACATATATGAACATATTCCAATTGGAATCTCCTGTAGAACATATTTACCATTTCATAACACCGCAACGCTTTTTATCACTTTGCTATCAATGCGACCTCAAAAATTGACCGAGGCTTAACCGACGAACGTCGCCTCAGCGTTATAAAAGTTTCGCTAAAAAAAAACAATCTCAAATACAAATACGGAAAAAAAAAATGGGTATCCTTTCGTCTCTCACGAAAACATATGTCCGTGGTTCATAATGATATGCGTGCGTTTTTCGCGTGCTCCGCTCGGGGTGGGGGCTGTTATATAAATGCCACTTGCAACCCGGTGGGGGCGTCGGTTTTAGTTCAGGCAACAATCTAGTGTAAACCACTGTTGGTCGGAGGAAGAAATATTGCAGTAACAAGAGTAGTAGTAACCACTTCAGAAATAATGCCGGTCACCGAAACTTTGGGCAGGAGGAACTGCATCCCCATCCTATACACCAGGGGCACCCACTACGAAGTTGGCTACGACGTCGTAAGTTACAAACAAAAATAACTATCGGATCACTTGATTTTGTCTGACCGCTTCGTAAATGTTTACATTTGATCAATACCGAATTTTCCCGACCGACGTCCAATTACCACTTACTAATTTTATACAATTCTCAATTTATGTTAAAAGCTTATTAAGTATAATAGAAAATCCAAGTCTAATCTTACTTCAAAAGTAAATTCTGTAAACAGAAACACCAATATTTTCAATAAATTTAACTATTTTTCAAGAATTTTTTTTTTTAAATAATTTATTTTCGACACTTATTCAGTATAATAACAAATCCATATAAATTACATTTTAAGATTCACTTTTCACTTAAGATTCATTTATTTTTGATACTAATTATAATAGTAACAAATCCAATCTTTTTCAGAAAACATCAAATTTATATAGAAACCCCCACATTTTTTTAAGTTTCTCTTTTGCGTTAATAATATTAAACAAAACTATTGATAATTCCTTTTCAAATATAAATAACAATGTTTCTATAATTAACATTTTTATTATAATACAAAATTCTGTACATGAAAATCCTATTATCACTAATATTCTTAATTCATCATTGATATTAATGAATATAGTAGCAAATTTTTGAAGTTCATTAAAAATTAATGAAAAATTATGTTTTTATAAAAAAAACGACAACATTTTTATTACAAACATACAATTTAAATAGAAACACTATATAGTAATTCAATATTTAAAAAAATGTTAATTTTAAATCACTCTACAATTATAAATATTCATTATACAAGCATTAATTTCAAACTGGTTATGATGCATAAATCAATTTATTTATGTACATTAAATCAAATGCAAAAAAAATGTAATGCAAATTTGACATTTATTTTCTTTAATTAAACATTATTATTACCTTACATAGAATTAAAGGGCAGTATTAATTATTAATATATAACAATATTTTATGCAAATTATATACATTTGAATTATGATTTGAAAGTCAATTCTTCAATGTGATTGATATGTCTCTCTCCTTTACCCTAAAAAAATATATTCTAAAACATTACTACCTTGAATTGTTATAATTTATTTCTCATGTCATACACATAAGCTTACATGAGTCTTTTTTACTTTTTTTTCAACCAAAGATTTGAATTAAATATAATATATTGAACTCTCCGAAATTGAATGGAAATTTAGCATTTTGTTTAATAAGTCTTAACATTCCTATAAAGTCTGAAGACACTTTTAATTTAGGAAATAAATTGCATTAAAATACACTTAAATTAAATTTAACAAAACTATAAAAACTTCCTATTGGAAGTATTTTTTTAAATGCTGAAAATATTATTGAATGAAAAATATTTGTCATTAAACTTCTGTTTTATTTTTGTTGTATTTATAGATTATTCATTTAAAAACGTTAAAAACATGTTTACATATGTTTCACCGTTAATAAGATTGCATTTCTTTGACTTCACCTCTTTTTGAAAACCTTACCTAAAAGATATTTTTTTCAATAATGTTTTCTGTTGATGTAATATTTCATATTTTTTAAGTACTAATATAAATTACATAGCTCGGGTTATCGTTTCCGCAAATATTCTGTTCAAAACCGGACTAATCGAGACTTGATTGTGTAAAAGGAAGAAAACGATCATTTATGTATACACAAATAATTGTGTGTTTAATTATTTAAAATGTAATTTCTTTGAAAATTTTTAATCCGGACTGATCGGAGCCATGACAGGTAAAAACATATTAATTGAATCATACGGTAATCATAAAAAATTCATATGATGTAAATTATACTTGTAAAACACTAAATAAATATTTAAACAAAAATGTAACATTTGTAATCCATTAACTGTTAATGAATACAGTAAAACGTGAATTGCATATACATGCATAGATTCGTTCCGTATTTACTTCAATATTTACATTTAAATGAGTAAACATTTTAAGTAAATTAATGATTATGAATAAAAAAATTTGTTGTTGTTGTATGTCATGTACAAAAATATTAAAGCAGATTTAGTTAAAAATTTATAACTGTTTATAAATAGATTATCTTAGTTTCTTCAATTAACAGCGACTACGTTTACATTCTTCAAAATTATTTATTATTATTAACTTCAAGACACGTTCATTTTTTTTGTTTCTAATCAAAACTATAATAAATTACTTTTACTTCAGTCAGGAACGGATTTATTTTCCCAGCATTTTCCCGATGTAATTAAATGTAAGCAAACACGTTTACTTTCATTTTTTATAAACAATTATTTATGTAAAAAAAAAGATTTTAAATATCAAGTGTCCTTCAACAAACTTTTTTGGTTGGATTTGATCAGTAAATGAAACTTTATGTAATACACAACAAAAAAAAATCATGCGGTTTGCGTGGTATTTTTTCCTTCCTTCCTTGATAAACAAAACCAGGCGTCTTCAAATTCAAATTGGTTTTAACAGGAAGAAAGTACACGTTTATTAAGATAAATGATTATGAGTAAATTGGAAGAACCGTTAGATGACATTTTCATTTCTCCTCCTGTTGTTATTCTCCACGAAAAACACCGAATGTGACTTTTATGAACAGCTTCTTTCCCGCGAATCGATTCCGTCGACCGCAAATTAGCAATAATAATTCCGAAATCCTTGGCAATGAAAGGTAATGTGCGATCGTTAAATGGTTTCGATCTGCAATTCGATTGCGTAATTTGTCGTCGAGGAGCGGACAAAAAATAAAACAACTCTCGATGCCTACTAGATATTCGCATACCTCGCAAGATTGAGCGATAATAATGTTGTTAGCATTAATTAATGGAGTGATCACAATAAGTAGCATAGAATCACAAGTTTCATGGTACTCGTATCGCACGTTTATCGAATAATTGATGTAATCGATTGCAGAAAGTTTTTCTTATTATTTTCGTTTTCTATCAATGTCCTCTCTACTTTACAGATAACATTCAATATTAAACGCAATCTAGTTTCAGGTGATATTATTATTTTAATTACGTAACCTAATTTAAATCAATTCAGAAAAAATCAATAAATCTTATCAACTATAAATAAAATTATCATTTTTTAAACCCGTTTTTAAAACTTATATAAAACAATAATTATTACTTCATTTTAACATCAAAACATCGTAAATTACTTTACGTAATTTGATGGTTGCTATGGTAAAATATAGTTTTTTAAGTACTTGTAATTGCAACATTTGTCAAATGTCATTATATTTAATTTTTTGCTGATTATACTATCAATTCATTATTTCTGTAAAATTTGGCTCAGCTTAAAAAAAGTAAACTAACATTTATTAACAAACAAAAAATGCTACTGAACGCATTAGTTTGTCCTAAATGTCTGTTGTCAGGTGTACCAACTAATATTAGTTGTCATTAACACCTATTACATTTAAATTCATAATAGTTGGTAACAGAAGAAAACAGTTCTATTCTTACAATCAATACTTAGGAAAGTCTTTGGATCTTATAAGTGTTTCAATCTTAATAGCAAAAGTACTAATCGTAATAACATTTTAACATTGTTTCATATGAATTACAGATATTTTAGGTAATTAGGACAGATCAAAATTATGGACAATAAAAATATGTAAATTAATAAAAATAAAATAATCTTAATCTAAGCTAAGGAAGAATGTAGCTTACATTATAAATAAAGTAAATATCGTAAGCAACTGAAAAATAAACAGCCTTGATTGCTGTTTTCTTTGATTATTAACTAACATGAATTACATTTTAGAGTGTCATCAAAGGTCAATAATAATCAGTAAATTCCGCATTCACTGGAATAAATCATTGTACACTTATGCCAATGAAGATGAAGTTTAATGTGATTAAATTTAGTCATGTTAGATTTAACTAATGTTTCTTAATAATAATTAGTACCTATAATTAGTATCTCTTTTTTTTTTCTTGTATTCCTAGAACAATAGTAAAGTTTGCAAATATTTTAAAGAATATAAAAGAAATAGTTTGAAGCACACATAACATTATGTGGCATTGTTTTATAATGATAAACACAATATTAATGATTAAAAGCCATAAATTAATAATTCATTTCTTGTTAATAATTTTCAATTTAACTTTGATAAAAGCATATAATTATTGTAAATAAACATTGTTTTGTTTCTGTAATAATTATTTTTTTACAATAATTAATAAAATAATTAGCTTAAATTGAAAATATAAATTTATCTACGCTGTAATTGAGAGTTAAATTGATTACCAAGGACATGTTCTTTTACAATTGCAAAGCATTAAAATAAATTTATGTATAGAAGAAGAAAAAAAAATGTGATTTCTTGTCAAATGCGAGATGGTAGATTTAGTTATACACGCACACTTCGGCCTTCGCATTTCACACACGAAAAATCGATCACATCCCAGAATCGCAAGGCGCCTTCCGAATTGACCACCACATTCGCAGACTTCACTGCACACACAGTTCAAGGATCGAATGCAGACGTATCCGCAACAACGAAATGTTTGTTACGGATTAAAAGATTAAAGTAAATACATGTAGATTCAGGTAGATCCATCTCAAAGGTGATGCAATACAATGGCTCATTCGCAAAGTAAAAATAAGCATATTCTTGGAAATAAATTATAACGAAACGAGAAATAAAAGTATAAGAAGGTTGAAGGATCCATTGGAGACTTCGACCTCATGAGCTTTTTTCTTTTCGAAATACCGAAAAAATAGATTTTATTGTGCTTTTATTTTAATTTGTTAAAGAAAACAAATCAATCTCAATAAAAGTTTAAGAAGGTTGAAGGATCCATTGGAGACTTCGACCTCATGAGCTTTTTTCTTTTCGAAATACCGAAAAAAAAAGATTTTATTGTGCTTTTATTTTAATTTGTTAAAGAAAATAAATCAATCTCAATAAAAGTTGAAGAAGGATTCGAAAAAACAGATTTATTTTTGTATTTATTGATATTGTTTATATTTTTAATGTATGGCCTGTTAACAGGTTTAACTTACAAGCAATAAATCATACAGATCTTGTTTATTAAACTACATTTTGTTTAATTGAATTCATAATAAAAATATGCAAAGAAAACTTGTCGTTATTAATAACAGTGATTATTCGCGTGTTGCTTAATCAACTTAACGGTATGCATTGTTGCTAAGTTACTACCTATTATTAAAATTAATGTTATGGTGACATAACTATTAATAATAATAGGAAAAAAAAATGCACGTGCACATAAAATGAATATTCTAAATATTTTGCTCGCTCTGATCAAACCCCGAGTTTTACCAATCCCCTTAATGGAGTTCCTCAAGGCTCCACTCTAACTCTGTTACAGTATATTTCTACTATTTATATGATCGTAATTTAAATATTTTTTTATATTCCAATTCTCATTCAGTTTCCTCTTATATTTCAATTAATTTTATAATAAGTAACCTTTAATCAACAATTAATCACAATTATATTTTAATCAAAGAGTTAAATATTAAAGATAATTGTCCTACTATGCATACAATTTGTATATTGATGATTTTCCTTTAGTAGCCCAAGTGGCTGGTTTTGATAGTTTATTAAGTAGTTTGTAGTGTTGATTTTTTTTTTAATTTTTTTTAAATATTTAAGTCAATAATTTTATGGGTAATTTCGTTAATTCACATAGAAAACACGAATTTAAATGATTTTATGAATGGTATAAGATTTCTATGAATTAGTATTAAAATGTAAATTTGTGACCGCAAAATTCGAAAAGTCACTTCAACCTGTATTATTAATCACATGTGAATCAAAAGGCTAAAAGGGGAACAATATTATTTCAACGATAAAAACAATGTAGAATTAATGGTCAGTCGGCATTTCCGATTAATGTGCGGCAAAAGTTAAAAAAAAGAGTTAATTATAAGAATACCACAAGAGCAAATTATTATTTTTTTGGATTATTTCGTGTATGCAATTAAATGTGTTTTTCGAACGGATTTCTTTCATTTAGATAATTACATTTGCAATTGGATAATAACATTAGTTAATTTGGTAATAGCGAACAATAAATTAGCGACAGTCGCGGCATTCCATTCGATGTCGCAACATGCGATTATGTTAATACATGCGCATACTATTCATAAAAATTAAAACTATTGCAGAGTGAACAAGGCAATTTAATTGCAGTTCCTTATGAATAAAAAAAATCTGCAATAATTAATTTGATATCAACAAAAAAAAATATTTTTGGAGCAAGTGAAAGGACAAAATCACATTTCCTTGTGGCAATTATTCAATTGTTATCCTTCGGTGGAACTTTTCGAAAGACGGGAAGTACACCAATCCGGACTTGAAGTGATAAATTTTGATGCAAGGTTACTGATTTGTTGTTTGTTTTTTTTTTGGTCGTCGTTTGTTTTCGTTGCAAACTGTAGGTGGAACCTTGGTATCAATTTTGATTTGGAATCGAATTATGTTCTAGGGTCGCACCTTCGCTTCGCTGATACACGATTATCTGAAGAACTCGTTCATGCTCAACGATGAGTACATCCCTGCTTACGAAACGGATGCCGGGAGGAGGGCTTACGATGATACCTTGGAATGCGTGAGGGAAAACTTTCCTCATTACGTGAGGGAATTGGAAGGGACGGCCGATGGCGCCAAAGTACCTTTCTATAAGGTATTTCATTATTGAGTTTTATTGCATACACTTTTTTTTATTGTTGAATTATCTTGTAGCTGTTCCTACTCCACATGGATAACATCATAACGAACGCGTGCGAGATGACCGGTAACATCGAAGCTACTGGTTGCTCTTCGATTTGCGTCAACAACGGCGAACAAGTTAGTATATTTTCTAACTCAATTATACGAGGCCTTAGATGAATTGGGTCAAGGGTTGAACTTCCATGTTTTCACTTGGCTATAATGAGATTTCCGAGTTTGCATAATAAGTCAATAGAAAAGTGTTACGATTATACACGCACGCAAGTCCACTTTTTGGATAATTCCAATTAATTATAGTTGTTGCAAACTCTCTTCCCATATCTTTTCACACGTAATCATTTTGGCATTGTTCAGTAGCAATTATTTGTGATGTCGAACTGTAAAGACGTTTAATTATTGCAGGAGGTATTAGGACATACGGAAGACGCGTTCAATGTGGCCTTAAACAATTACTACTTCGTTTCCGCTCATATCATTACTGAGAAACCTCAAGGGAAATGGGGAGTCACGGAAGAACGTTTCACATCCCTTTGCTATGCAGGACACTTGCCTGGCTACACGATGAATTACAACCACCACGGTTTGGTGTTCTCCATAAATACTTTGAGCGCTGCAAAGCTCCACCCTGGTAAAACACGTGAGTCATCAACCACTAAAATTGCGCACAGATCAATGTATCGATTAATTTATAAATTCAACAGCCAGACACTTCTTGACCAGAGCTCTTCTATCGGCCGAGAATTTCGAGCAGGCCCAGAAGATCTTGAGAGATTCTGGATGCGGAGCCGGAGACGGCTGCTCCATCAACTTGACCTTCTTAAACCAAGAAGGTGATAGACTCTTCCACAACGCCGAAATGGGCCCAGCCGATTACGGAAACGAGTCGCAATTGAACATCCTCACAGCCAGTCCCGGAGAACATCTCCTTCACACTAACAAGTACATTACAAAGCCCAATATACATCTAACAGCCAAATAACTAATGCAATGTTACACAGGTATTTGCGTTTGGAAATCCAGCAGATCAAGGGCTTCGTGATCGACAGTGCGGAAGCCAGGTTGGACGCTTTGAAAACGTTCAAACCGCCGAAATCGAAAAACGATGTGATCGAGATGCTCGGCGATCAATCAGGAATCAAATACAGGGTTTTCCAAGACTTCGGACCGGACGATGTTGTGAAAACCATAGCCGTCGGTTAGTATATTTAAATTTAATTTGCGCAGACTTCTTCATTTTTTCATTAATTTAAAAAAAATACATTTTATTTTCAGGAATTTTCGACTGCAAAGAAAAAACGCTGAGCTTGTATGCTGACAACCCAAAATCCAATGAACCTCTAGTTGTGATACCTTTAGTTCTAAAGAAAACTAACAAAATGTAACTTAATTTGTGTATTGTATAATATTATATTTAGCTTAGCCTTACTTGCTTGACATCATAGTACTTAAAATCCGTCCCAATGTTAAATTATGTAATTAGATTATTAAAATAAATATTTAAAACAATATATATTTCAACATTATTTCTACTTACATTATCAAACGTTTATCAACAGAAATGTTATGGATGAGTAACTGGCAAATAGCAGTTGTATGTGAGTATTTTAGCATTCTCAATTCATGTTACTGTATAACTTTAGGGTTTTTGTAATAAAGAAAAATCTATTTGAATGCACATCTATTTATTTCAAAAGAATATTCCAATACCAAATTGTATAAGAAAAAAAAAACTTCCATCCTTCAAAAAAGTAACCAAAATTTCTTCAATCAAATCCCTCCAGCTAAGGTTTAAAGATCCAATATCATACATAAATAATAGTTAAATTTAGAAGTTCACTATATGCATAGAAAGAAAATTAAGTATTGCAGTGAGTGATGGAAGTGGCACAGCTCCTCATGTGATGAAGGTTAATCATTACTGAGGAGTTTAACGTGCTCATCCGCCCCCTGGCATGGAACAATCCTGTATGGTCTTTATCTGCCCAAACTTCTTTGGTCCCCTTGGTGGCCTGAATACAGATTTAGTTATAAAAAACATATTTTAAATTGTCTGTAGTTTGATATTACCCATTTCCTGGTCCACCAGAACCACCAGATCCTCCTCCTCCTCCTCTGCCATTTGAAATCCTTCCTCTATCTAATCCAAATAGCGATTTGAAGCTGATACAGAGATAGGTTAGAACAGTTATTGTATTTGGTATGAATGAGATTACTTACAACATGGAAATGAAATCTAAAGTGCCCCAAAAGGCGTCCACCAAGCGGCCGAAGTTCCATGGCCTGCTTTGATGGACTGTACCATCTGAAATATTATTAATAACAATTTAATTTACAATATAATTAAAATAGAAAACGTTGTAAATACATACCGGGACTTACGTAAACCATGCTTTGCTACTGCAGCATACGATATGATTTTTTTATCTATTTGATTCACCTCGTTCACCTTGACAAAGCAATTTTAATGACCATACACAATACTTCCTCACTCTATAATTATTAAATAGTACTAAATTCATCATAGACAACACAGCAACGTAGACCACCCAACAACTAATAAAAAATTTAATAATATTTGTTACTTCATTACATACATATAAATATAAATGTTATTATTTAATATTTTCTGTTTAAACAGTTTTATTTAAATTTACTAAATGTAAAATCAATAAATATTTACAAGATGTTATGCAACCGTATTAACACACATTTAATTTTTTGAAATCGCAAAAATTATAACATTTGCTTAAACGTATTAATAAAATCAATAATATATAATGTGTGCTAACAGGCTAAATAAATTTTGTCGATTTTAATATAGTCTTTGCAAAACAAATTATTTGAAGCGTCGTGTTAAACCCCGACTAACTTCAATTTAATTTCATGCAGGTGCAAAACACAAAACAAATTGTCTGAGTTCTTCTCTTTGGTTGTATGTGTTGTATATTTTAGAGTTGGTGTTGCAGTGATTGCAGATATGTTGCTGTATCTCAGAGTAATTCTTTAATGTGCATAGTGGATACACTGAATCATGCATTCAGGCAGTTTGAAATTAGTATAGATGATAAATTTTCCAAACTATTTAAAATCAGTGATAACCTAAAATGGTTTTTAATAGAAAAAGGAAGGACAACAGGTCCAACAGTTTTATACTAGATGATAGTCCCAAGAGGTATGTTGAAGTACTAGTAATCATTGATTATTTATTACACAGTTATTTGATTTTCAGAACTAAAGTACAAGCACAAAGGAAATTTGCGCAAGGATCAAATGTTAACAGCCCAGTTTTAACACCTGTGAAGGAGTTGGAGAAAAGTGAAAAAGTTATTCCAGAACCAATAGAGCTGCTGCCTATGAAGAGACCCAACACAGAAGACTTTTTAACTTTCCTTTGTTTTCGTGGTACTCCTGTTTTACCACCAAACTTAAGTTTCTTTAATAATGCTTCCATGGTAGAAAGAAATCAAAGTTCAGAATCTACTAGCACTTCTCCAAAGAATGGAGTCATCTTACCAAGCATATCAAAAACTCCAGGTGAAAGACCATTCATTGCTTTTGGTGTACGGAAAAGAGCAGATCCCATTGTTGTTAGTAGACATATGGACAAAAAAAGGAGACATGCATTGGCTCTGCAGGCTTTAAGAAGAAAGTACCAGGAACAGAAGATGGCTAAAATCAGAGCCATTACTATAAGTAAACTATCAGAAAAAGTACAAACAAATAAAACTGTTGTTAGGACAACAAGATCAGTAACAAAAGCAGGACCCATAACAAAGAAAAATATAGCACAAAAAACTAAAATCACTGTTGTTGCTACAAAAGTAACAACCAGACGAACAAGCACTTTAAAGCAGCCAGTAAGGACAAGCAATATTAAACCTAAAATGTGCTTAAGAAGTTACCGGGGACGCTTTGTTCAAAGGGAATTGTTAAATAAACCTGTAAAGAAGAGACCTATGCCAAAGAAAGTTAAAGTAGTGAAAAAAGATGAAGATAAATCTGATGAGGAAGAGGAGGAAGAAGAAGAAGAGTTTACTTCAGGTGATGATGAACCTTTACTACAGAAGAGCATAGAAGGAGAAAAAATTGCCCGGAAAACTGCATCAATAATTCCTAAGAAACCAACAGATAAAGGGTACATATACATATTTTTATATTAATTTATGTTATTAATTAATATATTTCTTTTTAGTTTTCATAAAACTAGATCCAACGTGATTGCTAATCAGAAGGTAACTAGAAGACATCCTGCGCAAACAAGACTTCTTGTTAGGGCTGCTCAAAGTAAATTGAAATCTCCGCCAAATTCACCGAGGCTTAGGTCGCAGCAGCTCAAACGCAACGTTAAATTAATACAGACTAAGAAAGAAGTGAAAACACCTATCAAGAAGCAGATTGAAATTACTAAAAAGTTGGAGATCAAGAAGAATACTATTACCAATAAACCATTGGAAGGGAGGAATGTTAAAGTTTTAAAGACGCGAAGTGAAAGTTTAAAAAAGAATATTGTAGAAGGCACTACTAAAAATAAATTAGCAACAAGCAACGAGAATATCAAAGGAAAATTAAGGAAACCCGCGAATAAAACTAATAAGGTTAATGTTGCCGAAAATGATAAAAAGGCTGTGAAACCTATGAAGAAAAAGGTTGAAGTAACAAAGAAACAGAATGAATGTGATAAGAAACCATGTGAAGAAACTGGGAAAAGCAATGTTGAAGAAGATAATAAAAAGCTAGCAAATGACGATACTAAGAGCAAAGTGAAGGAAATATCTGAGAAAAAGGCTGAGGTAAATATGTTTATTGAGAAAAATCAACCAGATGTTAATGAAGCACAGGATTTAAGTATAAAAGAAAATCAAAGTGATGTGGTTCATTCAGAAGACGCTATTAAAATGAAAGCAGCTATTGAAAAGTCAAGTAAAGAAATTGTAATGATTAAAGAAAAGAAAGATGAAAGTGTAAGTTTACAGGAAGTATGTGATATCCTTAAGGATACTAAACTGGATGAGCCCAAAAAGAAAGTTCCACACGAGAATGCAGCTAAAAAGAAATCTTTAGAACAATCCGCAAGGGCTAATTTATTATTACCTGAGGAGCTGAAAAAGGTTACAAAGGAATTAAAGTTAATGTTTGACGAAACGAATCTGAAACCGGTGGAAATTAGCAAAGTAAGCACAAAGTTATTGAAAAACAAGGTAGCTTCTAATGAAACTGAAACGAAGACATTAGATTTAGATCTCAAGAAACTGCCACAACGTCCGTCTAGGAAAACGAAAGAAGCAGCTGCCATTTACATGGAAATTTTAGGTCATAAATTAGTTAATAAAGATGATATAGATGAAGATTCTATGGACAGTTTTCCAGAATTACCTAATGTTCGTAAGACTGAACAGAGAGAAAACGAATTGAAGGCCAAAGCAAAAGAGGATAATGCTAAGAAGAGGAAATCAAAGTCTCCTGCCGAAAGTGACGGCGACAATTCGTCAAAGGTAAAGAGATCTGTTAGAAGAACACGAATTTCAAAAGCACAGTTATCGTCTGAAAAGATGTCAAGCGATTCGGATGAATCTTTCACTGCTGAAGTCACTCTGCCAACCGAAAAGCAATTAAGACCTATAAGAAATAAGTCTCCCAAATTATATAGGAGCTTTAGCGACACAGACTCTGAGACACTGCCATTGAAAAAAACACATTCGACAAAGCGTAAATCCGAAAACATGAACAGTGAATCCGATTCTTCTAAAAGAAACAAAAGAAAACAAAAAAGGGTAGCAAAGAAACAAAGTGTGGATAGCTTTAGTGAATCGGACGAAGAACCATTAGCTAAATTGACCCAAAAAAAGAGCGAAGATCAGTCGAAGAAGACAAGCGTTAGATCGAAGGGATCGCAACAGGAAACTGCAACTGTGATTGTGGGGAAACAGAAAAGGGAATGCACGAAACGTCCACAGAATTATATGCCGTATTCGTCTTCCGATGAGGAAGAGAAATTATTCTTAGGTTTCGACAAAGCAGCGTCTCCTCCGAAGCCTGTAGAACCAACCTTAGACTTACTTTGTACAAAGGATATGGGACGAAGGTAAGAATAAAGTGTTTAGTTACAATTATTTAGCATGAATATATTCAATATTATATTGTAGTTAGTATATTTATTGTAGTAGCTTGTTGGTTACTAATTGTATTAATATTGAAATGTGCTTTATACGAGAATAATGTCTTGATTAATATATTTCTCGTATGTGTAACTCGTATACGGAGACTCGTATACGTAAAAGGTATTTAGGAAGATGCAGTTAATACTCTACTAACAATACTGCAAGTTTAAATTTTAATTGCAAGACAATATCCTCGTCATACATAGTGCAGTTCTTGATCTCAAAAATATAAAATTAATCATTAAAATATAATGTTGGCTTTCAGACTCCCAATTATGCACATGATGAGTTAGAATAGCGATTAGATTATAGTCTCCGTCCAAATATCCTAGAAATATAAGATAGTACTTTATTTATTCAGATTGTTAAAATAAAATGTATATATTGAAAACGCTACAGTACCTTTATTTTTTTACTTTAGATATGGAAAAGAGAGAGTAAATATGTCTAATGAACAGATTGAAAAATGGTTGAATGATAGTGCGTTGGCTGGAATGAGCTTAATTAAAAAGGAAAACGATGAGATGTTAAAGTTTGGAGAGAAAATTCCGACCGAAACAAACTTGGAGAACTCGAATATGTCTTCTATAAATACGGAAAGTTTGAAGAGCACTATGTTAGTACCTAAGTGCAATATGGAGAAAATTGAGGAAAAAAAAGAGGATAATTCGTTAAATTCAACACCTGAGAAATACTCAACGGCTTCTTTGACGAAGCCACTTTCAAATGAACGAAAACCAATATTCACAAAGAAGGAACGACACAGCACCGACGTTCCGCCCAAAAACATTAACGCCTTTTCTGTTTGCAATGAAAGTAGCGTTTATGCCTTCGCAGATACTGAAGATTCTTCAGTTAACACACCTTTCAGACGGCCGTCTAGAAGACCGTCCAGTACAGCAACTAGCAAATCTGAAGATGATCCTGATGCGAAATTTCGGTTACCAAATCTGATCAAACCATTGGATACCAAGTCTATATCCAAAGAGGCTTTATTTACTGACGAATCTAATACTAGTTGCACGGAAATTGTAGAGACTGTAAATCCATTCTACATACCACAACAGCCTAAGAAGATAATGCCAAGTATAAAATCGTTGTCAACGCCGATGTTTCCACCATCGCAAACAAATTTACAAAAAAGAGACAAAATGCCGAAAGCTAAAAGCGTGGATAGATTATCGGAAACCTCCGAGGATTTTAAATATAAAGTACCGAGTTCGCCAAGCGCCAGTTCGTCGTCTAGTGCTAAACTATACAAACGACAGACAAATAAAAACAAACAATTGAAAGTTCCGCCTAATTATATGCCAGTGAATACTACCGAATTTCCAGAGCTTACAGGAACAGCACAAATTGTCGAAGCTCCTGTGTTTCATCCCACAGAGAAGGAATTCATAGATCCAATTGAGTACATTGAGAAAATCCGAAATCAAGCGGAAAAGTTTGGGGTGTGTCGTATCGTACCACCAGCCAACTTTAAACCCGAGTGCAAAGTATTGGACGAGATGCGCTTCACAGCTTACAATCAATATGTGCACAAAATGATGCATCGCTGGGGTCCCAATTTTAAAGAGTTAGTTGCAATCAGAAAGTATTTAGCCACGCAAAGTATTAATTTAAAACATCCTCCATGGGTAAGTAATCATCGCAAATTGCAAAGTTTTCCAAAATATCGTTTATTATTATTGTTATTTAGATTGGTGGTATGGAGATAGATCTTCCGCGTCTCTACCAAACGGTGCAAACTTTGGGTGGATTAAAAGAAGTCATAGAGAAGAAGAAATGGCCTAGGGTATCTGAGCTAATGAAAATACCGAAATCTGCACAAGACCGTGTTACGAAACTTGACGATATTTACTGTAAATATCTGCTGCCGTATGACACATTGTCCCCGGATGAACGAGACAAGTTGTTTGACGCTGTCGAAACTGAATGGGCCAAGCGAGAGTCCAAGAATCTGCTGAGGGCCCAAGGAGATGAGGAGAAATCCGATGAGGAAGAGGAATCCGAAGATGAGGATGAAACAGATATCGAGTGTATAGTTAAGGGTCGAAGTATGGCATTAAGCGCATTTTATCGGATTGCCAGAAACACGATGGCCATGTGGTTTAAAACGCCCGAAGCAGGTGCCGACGAAGTGGAAGAGGAATTCTGGAATCACGTAACTAGTAAGCAGTTTCACATTTGCGTGCATTCCGGTTCCATTGATTCCGGTAATTGGGGCTACGGCTTTGCCGTCTCCAAAAACAGTCCCTTCGCTCGTCATGCTTGGAATTTGAAGGTGCTTACAAACAACAGTGGTTCTATCCTCAGATCGATGGGCCCTGTAATGGGTAAGTGTCGACTATTATAAATCTTTTAAAATTATAATCGCTTATTTCTTATTTTAGGTTTGACAGTTCCTACGTTGCATGTAGGTATGGTCTTCAGTGGTTGTTGCTGGTATCGGGATCCGCACAGTTTACCGTGGATTGAGTATTGTCACACCGGCGCAAATAAAATTTGGTACGGAATTCCTGATTCGATGAGCGAAAAATTCCACGAGACATTGTTGAAACTAGTCCCAAATTATTGCTTGAACAAGTCTCTCTGGTTGCCATCGGACACGGCTATGTTACCACCTAACTTACTTGTCGATAACGGTGTATCTCTCACGAGGACTGTGCAAGAACCCGGTCAGTTTGTAGTCATATTTCCAAAAGCGTTCACATCCAACATTTGCACGGGATACGTGGTTTCCGAGAGCGTTTTCTTCGCACAACCGGATTGGCTGAATTGTGCACGGAAGGTCTTCGAGGAGTTAAGGAACAGCTGCGAACCATCCATGTTCAGCTATGAGAGATTGGTATTGAGCGTCGCAACGGATGTTCGAAGCGATATTTCTGTACTGAGGCAAATTATACCCGCCGTCGAAGAGCTGTGTCGAAGGGAAATCAAGGAGAGGCAAAGACTGAAAGAACTGGGTGTGATCAAAGAGGAGAGATTGCCATTACCGGATGTGCGGAAGAAGAAGAAAGTCCAGAATGATACGGAGACTGAATACGCCTGTGAGGATTGTCGTTGGAATTTGTTTTGCTCTATGGTATGTCTAATAATTATTTGTATAATTATTGATTAAATGCAGTACAATTTACTTTGTTCTAGGTATTCGAGAGTCAGGATAACGCAATTTACTGTATAGAGCACGCCATAAACCATATAGAAGACAAATCTTTAGACTCTACTAAATGTAAATTAATGTATACTTATGATCTGACCGAATTGAGTGTGTTACCTGATAAGGTAAGAACAACAATCGAAACAAAGTTACAAAAGAAAGCCGGTAGTAAATTCACAGGGATGGCGACGCTATTGAACCGGTAAATTATTTTAGTTTTTTTTTTAATATTTGTACAAAATTGTCAATTTCTTTCGAACGCGAACAACAAAAATTGTATCATCTGAAGCATAAATATATATTATATATATTTTTTGATAGTTTAGAATAATTTATTTTATCGAGATTTTTAAATGATATATTTGTGATTACATCTTTTTTTATTAAAGTTAAACTCGAAAATTGAGAAACAGAAGAAAGAAAAAAAATATGCTAAATGAAACCAAATTGTGGGGATTTTAGAATTCCATTTATTTATTAAAATTTTTGAAGTACAAAAATGTATTATATCGAACAAATCAACAGACTCTTATTAATTAACGAAAATCCATTAACAAAAAAAATAAATAATCAAAGAAAAAATATCATTTTATAGTGATGAAAGTGGTTTTCACTTTGTTTTTTCTATGTTATATATATTTACAAATATACACATTTCGCTACACCTTTGGCAACATAAAAAAAAACAAACAATAGCAAACCTTTGTAGAAAATATCACAAAGTTAAATAATTTTGTTTTCAAATTAGAAAATGCATGTATTTAAAATACAAGGAATGTTAGAACGTTTTTGTTTTGAAATATTAGACTTAGTGAACATTAAAAGCTTTAACAAAGTGTATTCCGTGTGTAAAATTTGGTCCTCTTCGCGTTGAAGTTACTTCAAGCTCTGCTATCTTTCGTGTCGATTCAAAATGTTAAATAAGACTTCCTCCTTATCTTCATTATCACTGTCCGTCGAAATGCTCATCTGCTCAACCTCTGCCTCATTGATAAGCGATTTACCCATGCCAACGTCGAAATTGCGATCGGAGGCGTCGAATTCGAAAGACTTTTGCGATGTTTGCGTGGTTCGCATCTTGTGGACCACGTGGCTCGTGATTCCTAATAGGCATATTAGTAAACCGCACAGATTAAGAACGGACATCTGATCACCGTTCCATTCCACAGCCAAGAACAATATTAACATCTCCTGAAAGTAATGCCAGTCAGATGTAGCATTTGTTAGTCTATATGTGTAATTGATGTTGTAATACGAACCTTAAATATTCCAGCTATTGATAATGTCAGACTTGATGTGTATGTTACGACCATGACTTCGCTTAACTCCATGAAGAATGCAATGCATGCTCCTATCAAAACCTTTATTATTAACAAGTTCAATTCACTTGAGTCCTTGGCGTACACTTCCATGCAGAAACGTATTAAACTTAGACCTGTAATCAATTTGTAATTCGATGTCGTTATACATTTGCATACTAACACGATCATTTGCTGTTTATAGTAGACCAATTGTCACATGAAGTGTATCGAAGATGCAGCGTATTTGTTTCAATGAATGTAATAGCTCAGCTCTTATTTGAAAAATAAAATCATCTAATTAGATACACGTCTATTCACTAACCCTTTTCAACAATCCATCAAACCCAAAATGATGGTTTTACATACATCCTCAATCAATATTTTTACTCAACAAATAACTGTAATTTTCAAATATCAACAGGATAATAAGAATAATTTTAATTGTGTTTGTATTCATGAAAATCAATTGGTGGTAGGAAGTGTGTGTGTGTGATATGGATATTTTTTGTAAACATATTTTTGTTATCAATTTTGCGGTTTTTCTTGATAAGCGCATAATAAATTTCAATAAATGCAATGCTCTCCTTACCTTCTATAGTTAAAACAAATGGTATTAAGGAAATAATCATAAATGGCTGCATATGGAAGACCATATCCAAAGGACTTTTCATTCCCATCTTGGACTTCTGTAGTAGCAATTGTACACATGTCCAACGTAAGCCACTGCACATAGATGCAATGAGGACTAGAACAAAACCTGCCATATCGAATTGTGTTGCTTTGTAAGTAAACAAGAGCAATCCGATTGAGATCATTATTACTATGATAAACAAGCTCCAGGACTAAAAAAAGGAAAAATTTAGATATTTTAAAGGATGCACTAATTTCCATTGACCTTTTTCTCCAGTTTAAGTAGAATAGCAAAACCCAATATGAAAATAATAGATGTGGATTTGGTCATAGTATATCTGAAATTTTACAATATTACAATAACAACATGTTGATTATGGTGGAATATGATCTTACAAGGACACAGTGATCAACTCCAATCCCCAATTAGAAAAACCAATGTCTATGCTGCTGAAGAGACCTGTGGGTGCCACAGAAATAATGTAGTCTTTCCATCCCACTGTTAACCTTTGACTTCCAAATTTCAAAGCCCATATGCTTCTCACTAGAGCGGCCAAGATGAATTTCACAATCATGTGCACAAGGACAGTGGAAAGGGGGAATTTGAATTGCTGGAAGTAGAGTAAATCATGTTAGTATGGATATCATCAAGTGTGCATTGGTTTCCAATTGGATTACTTGTAGGAGCCATCTCTGGTAAAATGTCAGACCAATCGAAGGTGCAAAATAAATAGAGATTAAGATAACTGTCATAAAGGACTGCCAGATGCAGGCAGGGGTGAAAACTTTCCGTTTCAGTTTCTGCACGTCAAAATCAATTTCAACTTCCTCCCCTTCAACATCCCTTCGAAGGACATCGTACTTCGCTTTCGCTCTTCGCCCTAACATATTGTAAACATATCGAAACAAGACGCACGCACACTGCTACATCAACCAAAACCAACTGATTTGACAATTGTGACAGTGACAACATACATGTTTCTTTTGCAATTTTAATCATAACCAATGATGCCAACACAAAGTATGCTAGATTAACATAATGTTGGCAGTTCCGTAGTGCTTCGCACCACTTCGCACTGTAAAAATGGCGTTTGACAAAGATTATTAGTTACGGTCTTTGGAACTGCGGCATATAAATAATTTATTTTAAATAGTTTAAATAATTTAATAATATTTCAAGATGTATTGCCTGCAGTGGTTGCTGCCCGTACTTCTGATTCCGAAGCCCATAAACCCGGCAATGGTGCAGACCCATGTGATGTTTATGGTGCTGTATTTGATTGGTTTTTTCTTGGAGAGGAAACCATGTACCATTTGCAGTATTGTATTTTTGGTAGCCGTATTCCTGATATGCTATAGTGGGATTGGCAACTGCATCTTTGGTTCAGCATTCTGTGAAAGTGAAAATGGATAGATGATCGCAGCTGGAAGGCAAATGCTTTCTTAGGCTTAAAACTCTTTTTAGTTTTAATTACTTTAAACAAAATCAATTTAAATGGTTGTGATATATTTGAAGAAAGAATATTCTATGTTTGTTTATTTATCTATGACATGTAAATATTGTTACCACTTAATTTGATTCATACCAAATAGATGAATATAATTTATTGTTTGTGTGATCTGGGATGAGATAAAATTTATCCCCAATTGCACACAAAGAAAATGCTATAGAATGTACTTGGAATAAAACAAATAAAATTCTCTAAACCCATGCTTAAACCATAAAAACAAAGCTAATCAAATATTTATTACTTTATTGGAATCAATTGAGCATTAATAATAATTTTTGCTTGGCCTTTGTGTAATCCTTTTTGTTATCTATATCCCTGAAACATAGAAACCTTAGCAATTAAATTCATAATTTGAATATTGGAATAAAAAACTAACTTCTTTAAAAACACTTTCAGTGCATCCTTGGTTGTTGCAGGAAAATAGTTCCTTTTCACTAACATTTCCAATGCACATAAACAACTTTCAATATTCCAAGGTACTGTAAACTTCTTATCTTCACCCTAAAATCATAAACATACATGACAATAGCTTGTTAAAACCTCATAAATGTAATAAAACATACTTTAATTAAGCCAAGATTGATAAGAATTAAATTGTTCAGGAATGAGAGTTTATCGTTTTTACTGCACCATGCAAACATTTCAATGAACAATGACTCACAGCACTTCAATGCTACAGCTTGTACAGAATCTTTGCTTTTAGCATACACAGATGCTGCACTGAATATACCTTTGATGCAGTTATCTACGTAATCACCAGTTGACTCCTACAACATTCAACGTTATTTCATTCTCAATTTTAATGCGAAATTATCAAACCTTCACTGCGTTCAATATAACGGTTTCCCTGTTGTCGCCTAAACCGAGGAAGTTTTCCGGCGTCGGATCTTGAACGAATTGACCGTAAGTTTTAAAGGAAACGGCAATTGTATCCTCGGAATCCTCCTCTTCTTCTTCTTCATCATCATCCTCGTCCGATTGTTCTTCATCATCATCATCGCCTTCATCGTCATCGAACTCATCCAACATATCTTCCACATTCATGGCCGATACCATTTCCTGAATTCGCTCCGTACCCTCGCAACCAAATTTATTTCCATTCAAACTGATCTTCTTCAAATTGTCCTTCTCTTTCAATGCGTATAGTACTTCTACAGCTCCGTCCGTTTTAATTTCATTGAAACTCAATATCAGCTCTTCCAATTTATCGCAATTGCTCAGGCATTCGGCCAGCGCTATGGCGCCTTTCGTTTTCAAAAGACAATCGCCAAAATTAATAGTCTTCAATGATTCCAAATTCGGCAGAGCCTTTGCCAGAGCTTTAGCGCCCACCGGACCTATCGTGTTATCATTTAAATTTAATATTTTCAAGTTTTTGTTCACTTTAAATGCCTCAGATAGAGCCGTTATTCCAACATGGTAAATACCGTTTTGCGGCATTTGTATTTCTTCTAATGTACCGATTGTCTATTATAAAAGAAAATCTTGTTATTCATTGTTCAGTTATAGATGTGAAGTATTCAATTGTAGATAAATAAAATTTACCTTAAACACAGAAGCTAAAGATTGTGCTCCTTCATTTTCCAATCGATTTCTTCCAGCAATAAAGACTTTCAATTGCAAAGGTTTTCCACTTTCTGCACTGAACTTATGGCAATCCAACAAAGCATTTGCCAACAATTTTCCTCCAGTAATACCTAATCCATTATTGTTCAACCGAAGTTCTTGCAAAGCAAAGCAGCATGAGCTCCTCAGCAGACTGGCCAAACCTTTTACACCAATTGGCCCAAATGCATTATCACTCAAATCAAGTTCAGTCAATCGAGCTGAAGATGCTACCAACCCATTACCCAGATGCTCCTGCAAGATACATCAACATTACATCAAAAAAACTACAAATCCTAAATTAAGTTTTTACTAGACATATAGGTATTTCATCTTTCATGCGTCCTGTAAATAGATCCTTCCATAAAGCCCTCTTGAATTCACTATGTGTTTCAAGTGCTTTGGATATGGCTTCAGCTGCTTCAATACCAAGAGTGTTGCCTTCTAAATTTAAAAATTCCAGAACCTTCCTAGATTTGATGGCTTCAATTATGTCTTTGGCTGCAATTAAAATAACATTAGCATCTGACGTTGTTGTTAGAAAGTGCGTTACCATCATCGGCGTTGTTCAATTTAAGTCCTTTGCCTGCGAAACTAACACCGTTCACTATATCCGCTTTATCGAAAGCGGCAATCAAAGTATCAACGTTTGTATTAGCCATTTCGCAGGTTTATTGATACGACCAAATTGATGTTAAATTGTTTAAAATTCAATTTACAATTGTATGAAAAAAAATATAATTTATTTGAGGTTAACACATGTACCAATACCCAACAGTTTTAAAGTTTTAGATGAAGTTGGGTGCAGGTTGACGAAATTTGTCAGTTAAATTTTTGTATTTTGCAAATCTATTAATGAAAATGATTTTGTAAATGATGAATAATACTTCTATCACATGCCAAAAGTAAATTAAGGGAATTGTGTGTGTTTTTTTAAATTTTCTATATTGAGATCAATGAATAAGGTGAATGGATGTGTGTGTGGGGGTTGAAGTGTATTGGTAAACCTGTTCTTCGACAAATGTCAGAGATGTTTACTTATTTATAATAACAATAAAGAGAAATAACACATCCCTTAAAAAAAAAATACCAGTTAGTAGTGTGCATTTGGTCACGTTAACGGCCATTCAAATTTCAGTTGTTCCGAAGCCCTTCGGACTTCATGACCCTTCATTGTTTTCGGTCACGTTTTTAATTGAGAGGTCTGTTGCAATCAATATATATATATATATACATACACACTCTATATACGAGAAAAAAATGACACAGTTTCATTGACTTACGATCCGTTGCTGCCCGATCCTAGTAATTAGGAACATTTGTAAACAAATCTGATGCCACATTAGGTGGAAACACGAAGGACATTGCTATCGTCGTTCCTCACAATGACACCTGTACCTGTCCCAGCTGATGAGCCACCCAAAAAGAGATCAGCTGCTGATTTCATATTTGGTAAAGTTATTGGGGAAGGCAGCTTCAGTACTGTTTATCTGGCTAAGGACATCCACACCAACAAAGAGTTTGCAAGTAAGTAGCAATTAACAACATCAACAGCAGGATGCATTCTTCAGCAATTGCCAGAAGAAATGTACCCCTCTTTTTTTCTATATTCTGATGCCCATCAGCATTCATCAAATCACATTTGTTACACCCAAAAAATACTGCATCAATATATCCATTTTGTGTGTGTTTGTCTGTGAAGGGAAATGAGCAATCTATGGTGAATTCTGTAAGCAAAGCAATAACATGCAAAAAGAGAAATATTCATTCATGACATATGTCTGAGCATATATTTATTTATGGACTCCTATTTTTTTTTTGCACACACATAAAGTTGTTATGCAACAATAATATGTTGCTTTCAAACGTAAATATCAGCCATATCAATGCTATCAGTTCATTTCTAACATGTTTGTGTCACAATTTTTATTTATTTAATGTTACATCCACTTTATTAAATTAACACCTTTTTCCACCAATTTAAAAGAAGTAAATGTTTATTTGTTTTGTATAATTATCATGTTATATGGATTTAAAATGACACTCATTGATATGAATTCCAGACGTTCACTTATTTTTTAACCAACAGATTTAGTGTTATCAAGCAATTTAAATGCGGCGCTGCGAGTTGATCACAATTTGTTATTGAGTCTGTTTATCAATACAATCTAAGCCATCTCTCAAATATCACATCTATTTCAATATTAAAAATTATCTTATTTACATATGACGTTAAGTATAATAATTAGGGATTATTGTATTGGAAAATTCAACTCTGTTATCAATGTTAATTCATAAAATAATATTGTTTCATACACATTGATATTAATATCAATACGTAATCTTTTTTCTACGAACAAATTTTTGCCTGTAACAGAAATGTTTTCATTTTATTATTCAAATAAATATTGTGTACATATATTTTAGATAACACTAAGAAATTTACTATAACAGTATCAAGTCAATAAGTGTTCATTGTTTGAATAGTTGACTCATGACGTTGACTTTTTTGTAAATAAACATTTGTTTATTTGTTTTTTTTTTCTAGTTTTAAGTAATTTTATGACTTAATTATATTTTTTCGAATAATAAATTCAAATATTTAATTACTCTATTTAATGTTATGTGCTAACTATTTATGCAATCATTGCTATTACGAAACTTAATAATTAAGTTAAGTGAAATAAACCACTTTAGCCGTTTTGGTTAGCAATTGGTATTTTTCAAGAAAATTCTACATTTACGTTGCTTAAAAATGAGGAAACAAAATTGTACTGTTGTTTTAAATTATTTAATGTAATGTACTTCCAATTATTTAACTGTATTGTTAGTTAATTTTATACGTTTTCTTTTAGTTAAAGTATTGGAAAAGTTGCATATTAAGAAGGAGAGAAAATTGGCTTATGTGACTCGCGAGAAGGAAGTGCTTCTCCGTTTGGCATCATGGAACGAACTCTTTGTCAAATTGTACTGTACCTTCCAAGACGTGGACCGATTGTATTTCGTTTTAACGTACGCCAAGAACGGTGATCTGCTAACTCATATAAAGCACTTGTCCTTGGAATGCGTGCGATTCTATGCTGCAGAGATTATTATGGCCCTGGAGAGGCTGAACATCAAGAAGATCATACACAGAGATCTGAAGCCAGAAAATATTTTATTGGATGAGAATTGGCACGTGCTGCTGACAGACTTCGGTAGCGCCAAGATTGTTAAAGATGAGATTGAACAGGAGGAATGCGGTGAGAATAGCAAAAGGAGGAACAGTTTCGTCGGAACGGCGCAGTACGTTACACCAGAGGTCTTGACCGATGGAAACGTGAGTTTCGCAAGCGATCTGTGGGCCCTGGGATGCGTCATATATCAGATGGTGTGCGGTACCGCACCCTTCCAGGCGGGCAGCGAATATTTGATTTTCAAAAAAATTCTCGATTTGGAATACTCCTTTCCCGAAGATTTCGATAGCAGAGCCAGGAATTTGGTCGAGCAATTGTTGGTAATCAATCCGCATGAGAGGCTAGGGTCCTGCGATGTTAAACCTTATACGAGCATAAGAGAGCACCAGTTCTTTAGTAAAATAAATTGGCACAATCTTGGAAAGCCACCGAAAATCTGCAGCAATAGGGAGGTGGAAATTGAGATTTCGGATGAATTGGAGCCTGGATTTGATGAGCAGAAGGCAAGCAGATTACAACTCGAGTTAATATGCCCGACGACTCCAACGCGCAAACGTTCGGAGGTTCGAAATATCGCCGATATAAGCGATGAAGAGGTCGTCAGAAGGTTAGAAACGCAGAAACAAGAAAAGTGGCATCAGTTAGTTGAAGGCAATTTAATTCTCAAGCAAGGCCTAGTGGACAAACGGAAGGGTTTGTTTCCACGGCGCCGGATGCTCTTGTTAACCCAAGGACCCCATTTATATTACGTTGATCCAGCAACGATGATTCTAAAAGGCGAAATACCTTGGAGCGAAGATTTAAGACCTGAGGCGAAAAATTTTAAGATATTTCACGTGCATACGGTAATATATAATTGAACGTTTGATAACTGTTGAATTCTATAAAATTCTTTATATTTACAGCCAAATCGGGTTTACTACTTGGAGGATCCAGAAGGTTACGCATTGGAGTGGTGTAAAGCTATAGAAGATGTCAAATCGTTTTATTACACGTCAAAGTCGTCTTAGCAGCGAAAACATTAGTCACAATTGCAAATACGTTAATTTTATATCATTTATTACTTCCTTCCACCCTTTTTATTATTCTTCGTAGCTAGTAAATATTTATTATTTATTACATTTATTTTTAAATTATCAGTCATTTGTTTTATCTAACCTGAAGAGAAGCAAAACAAGATTTATTACTTTCAATAAATTAGCTTTCAAGTGAGAAAAACAAAATGTGGTTCAGTGTAGGAGGACCATATTTAAGACGCTATTTCTATTTTAATCAATATAAATGGTATTTGTAGGAATATTATCGTCAGACATTTTATAGCGGAAATAACAATTAGATCAAAGGAGAAAAATAAGACATAGAGAATAAACAAGCTGAATATTTATTATTTACTGAATTATTCGTCAACCTATATATCCACGCCTACTACCGCGGTAGAAACCGCCACGGAAATTACGTCCTCCTCGTCCACCTCTCCAACCGTTGCTACCGTAATCTCCCCTATGAGAATAACTGTTGCCCCTGAATGATCTGAATCCGCGACCGCGGTATTCATTATTCGGTCTGCCATTCCAATCGTTTCTATCATTATGGTAACCTGTACCTCTTCGAAACTTTGGAGGCGGTCCAGAGAAACCGCACAACGAATGACCTCTAGGTTTACCTCTCAATCCGCAATCGATAGAATTCAGTCTTTCGATATTGTAACTACCAGCGTGTATCGCACAAAGTTCCCTTATGACTTTTAGAACTGTGCAATCTCTTTGGTCCTTTTCTAAAACTTCCGCGGGTTCTCTGGAGGCTCGGATCACCAAACATTCCAGAGCTGGACGGAGCGCAACTATCTTTGCTGCCACTTGTGCGTCCATATTGAAATTTATCCAATTATCTAATCTCACTACCCCTTCCACCTGTATACATAAATTAAGAAATGTTTAATAACTATATCGAGAAAATATCAATCTAATTTACCCAGTCAACTTTTCTTGATCCAAACAGTAGTAAATGTATTGGTGAAACCATCGACATTTGCTTACAGGAGACTGCGCGTGTTCTGATCTTTTCTCCAAACACAAAGAACGGATAGAGGAAAGTCTGCTCCATATTGCTGCAGTTAACGGATGTCTTGTGAATTAATGCTGCTTTGCTTTCTGTGGTTAACACTTTCCTCTTCTCTTTATGATACGCTACATTCGGATATAAACCACTGCACAATAGAGCCATTACCATATCCAAATTTTCATCTAATCCTGCAGTTTCCATCTGGAATGGTGCCATGGTTTCCTCGGGGAAGCCGCACGATAAGAGAATTTCTTGCAATTGGTGCTTTGCCTCCCAAGTAATGCGCATAGTGGACATGCTGACACCTTTGAACTCGCAAAAGTTATTTTCAGCTTCTTCACCACGTAGCCTCGCTTTCTCCCATAACTGCAATTAATTCATTAGATAAAATTATAGTAATATGCTTGATTGAGTTACTTCAAATGCTGTGAGCATTGCTACATGGTCAGAATTTCGATCTCCGGATAAAGCTTTTTGGTGGTAACCAAGTCTTTTCTGACGGGCATCCATCGTAAAGATGTCTGGAAACGTTGATGAATTTGCCGCCATCGTGGCCAGTGGTCCACCGCACATAAAAATGCAACCCAGCACCATCATTTTACCTAATCTCGGTTCTATGGGCATCTTCGCCAAGATTTTTCCCAACGGCGTTAATTCATCATTGGCGTCTAAACATTTCATTTCCCTTAACAATACTTCTGCTTCAATCACGGCGTCTAGTGGAGGAGGCTCGATGGATTTGCTGAGGAAATGTCCAATATTGCCCAGCCGTAATAGTTTAATAGTTAAAGCTAATTCATGTAAAGGGGTTCTGAACATTTCTGGAGTCAAATGTTCGTCGAGTTCGATAAACCTCGCTTTCGAGCAGAGGTGAAAGCACACTCCAGGTTTAACACGTCCAGCCCTTCCTTTACGTTGCTCTAGGTTACTTCTCGATGCCCAGACTACCACGTAACTCGTCATGTTGTTGTGAGAAGTAAACATCTTCATTTTAGCTTTACACGTATCTATTACGAATACTACATCATTGATAGTAATAGACGATTCAGCTATGTTAGTCGACAATATTATTTTGGTAATATTCGTTGGCACCGGATCGAACACCAGCTTTTGGTCTTGCCTCGGCAATTGCGAATGTAAAGGTAAAATGCAGTACTTGTTTGAACCATAAATAGGATGTTGTTGTAAATGTTTCAACAATGCGAAAATGATATTCCATCCAGGTAAGAACACCAAAACTGCCCCAGGTCTATTCAATTCGCTAATGTGTTTCAGTATTGCTTCGATCAGTTCGAAGCTCACAGCCTTTTCGGACATATTTTCCATAGTAAGTTTAGTCGAAGCTTTGTAATGACTGGGGATAATCTGTAAAAAAAAAAGAAAACATTCATTTTTTGTAACCTACGTTTTCCTTCATACCTTATTCAAATTTTCATCTCCATCGTCGTCATTCACTGGTTCATCTTCATCGCCAAATCCACGCTTTCTCGAATCCGGAGGTGGTACAAAATTGGTTAACTCCACGCAATCTTCCAGAAAATATCTTTCTACAGGGAAAACGCGTCCTTCAATTTCAATTATAGGACAATTGTTAAAATATTGAGTGAACAATGAAACGTCAATGGTGGCTGACATCAAAATGACTCTTAAATCAGGAAATGTATGTACCATATCTCTTAAAACAACCTATTTGAACACAATAAATATATATTAAATAAATATTAACAAGTTGAACGCATTATTTACCATGATGAAGTCAGAATTTACGTCTCTCTCGTGAATTTCATCCACAATTACATGACTCACTCCTCGTAGTCCGGCTTCTAATCTTTTAAGCAAAACTCCAACCGTGCAGAACATTATGGAGCCGTAAGCTCTTGGTAACACGGATTCAAACCTTACGGAATAGCCGACCGTTTCACCAATATCTTCACAGCGTTCATTAGCAATGCGTTCAGCAACGGATACCGCAGAAATCCTCCTTGGCTGAGTTATAACTATATTACACCATGCTCCTTGTCCAGAAGATATGTAATCGTCTAATATATACTGGCATACTTGTGTTGTTTTACCGCATCCAGTGTTTCCTTTAACGATTATAATCGGATTCTCGTTTATTGCTTCCATCAACTTTGATTTGGATTTATATACTGGCAACTGATTTCGTTCATGTATGCTCATCTGCAATTGGGTATTGTTCTCCAAATTACTTTTAGATTTATTTAATAAAACATCACTTAGATTTTCTAAAGTAGCTGTGGCAAGGAAACCTTCGTCTATATTACAGCCAGTCCAAGGGTTCCAATTTGGTTGTGGCGGAGACCACTGCACAACCCCTGCGCTTTGAGGTTTGGCTGCGTTAAAGTCATCCAGAACTTGTGTATTTATTAACGATTGTGACTCGGGACTTTCCGTTATTTGCACGGGTGTAATTTTGAATTCAGCCAGACAATCATCAATCTTCTTCACCAAATTTGGGGATATTTTAATTTCGTAAGGTTTCATTTCTTTGCCGGAGTTCTCCTTCTTGAGCGTTCCTTGGAACGCTTCGATAACACCCAAATGGAAGAGTTGTCGAATAATAGAGAGAGCGCAACTTTTACTCGCCGATTGCTTATTAGAAGCGGTGTCCCGACCAAACACATTTCTACCCAATTGTTGCACAAAGAAACTCATTTCAGCAATGAAACTCCTAATCATCGGGAACGAAACATTCAATTGACAGACCAATTTTGTAAGCACCTAAAGGGTCAGAAAGAAAACCTAGCATTCCACTCAACTGTGTATCTAAATTGGAATGTATATTGGTCAAACCAATATACAAACTAATATTTCATTTTGCAAATACAACTTTGTGCCTGATGAGGAAACTAAATTTAATTTAGTTTCCCCAATCATTATTATAACAAGACAAGTTTTTATCTTGAATGCCAAGCTCTCTCAATGCCCTTTAAGTTAAATATAGTAACCACTCACTTGTTATGGTCGGGTCCCACGACTGTATATTTGTAATCGGCGTTGATTTTATTGATTTGCATGAACTGATGTAGCTTAGATTTTGCATTCTCCATAGTCCAGTTACCGTGAATCTGAGCATTAACATCTAAATCTTCGGCATCCTCGACTTTTTGCTGTTGCTGTTGAGCTCGATCCATATAGCTAAACGCTCCATGAGATTTTTCTTGATCAACAGATCTGTAAGCCTCTCCCAGTGAAGAAGGACCCATGCCTTCCCCAAATACTGGTTTTTGATCAATTGATCCTGTAATAGATTACATTTTTAAAATAACAATTCAAAATATTTAATCTACACAATTTTCTCATTACCATTATTTTATTGGTAATATACTAGTTAGATAAATATAAGTAAAATAAATAAACAGGATTATTTACCCTGAGATGTAGTAGCTTGTGGAATACCCATGTCATTTGGAAGATCTTTAGCATGAACATGCCCTTGCCGTACCAAATAGTTGACAAAATCTTTGGCTGCATTGCTCTGTGCATCTTTCTTATTTGTAGAGTTGCCCACACCAACATAGTTGTGTCCATCAATTCTCACTTCACAAAGAAATCTTTGCCTGTGTTTTGGGCCTGGAATTAGTATGTATGAGACTAGACCCATAGAAAGTAAAATAATCAATAACATACCGGTAGGCCGGACTTCGTAGGTGGGTTCACATTTGTTCTTCTGGCAAAATTGGTTAAGGAATGATTTGGTATCACCCATATCTGTATATTATAAAAGTCTAGAATTCGGACGACGCATAAATTACATACAAATAAACAAACTATAGGTAAATGTTTGGTTAGGAATTGGTGCTCTGGAAAAGTATTTGCTTGGTGCAACCAATGTTGACCCGATACGAAGACTTCAATACAAATTGGATGTGCAGATGGCCACTGTAGGTCCGTACGTGCTGAAAGCTGTATTGTTCGTATGCAAATCAATGCAAAAACAAGTGGAATTGCGAATTACAATGGTCCTGTTGTGGATGTTGCCTACACAATTAAACAAATATGGCGCAGTCTGCAGCTCGCGGTGACTTTAGTTCCGTCAGTGACCAGTGACAACAATCGACCATCCGACTATCAACATTTAAAACTGCGATCGATCATTTGAATTCGGTGCAAGTTTCCATTCAACAGCGGTCCAGAGGTCTAATGCAGTTTCAAGATCCACGGAATCTCGATCACGTAAGTCATCTATTTAACCTATACACCGTATATACGATTATACCACCCGCCCACATTAAAACCTGTGCGTGTGGAGATAGATGTACGAAAAGAAAAGAGCAAAATATACGCGCATATGATATTTTCGTCGGCCGTTTCTCCTCACCTCCCGCATGCCTGATGGACACAACCGTCCCAAAACAACCCCGAACCTACGAATTACCCAAAACCCTGGACAATCCCAACGAGAATCCGTTAGTAAGCAATCTGTTTACCAGTTTTCTAAGAGACAGCCGTTATATTTTTTTTAAGTGATTGTTTGCTGATGTATTGGAGAGTGGATTGTGGATTTTGCAACGCACCACCCTGCTCCGTCTTTCGCCTCTAATTTGATTACCTTGACAATAATCCAATTGTCTTCTCGACCAAACGAATCATCATCGAATAAAGTTCTCGTTTTGAAAACAAAAAACGTAAATAAACGGTGATAACAACCTGACAATTGTTATCAGTAATGCCAACAATCGCAATTGGCCACTTGTCGTTTGCGAATACTTTGGTTTTTTGTTTGTTTTTGAAACTTAGATAAAACGATTTGCGGTCCACTTACGCCAACAAATGATTACCCCGGTTTACGACCGTTCATTATAAATCAAATATGTGTTTTACATTTGCTCTTTTTCTTTAATTGTTAAGAAATATTACTTTAGTAATATGAAATAAGAATGTTTTCATTAGGATGCACTGATTGTTTGTGTATCCATGTAATTGTATTAGCAGCTTTCAGAGACAACACTGGAGGACAAGACCCATGTAACCACCTAAGATGAGTTTACGTTGTTTACGAGCTTCAACTAATTTTCTCCCAACAAATATATGTCCCTAATTATAATTAATAAAAAAAATAACTGTTAATTGAATTTGTGTTATTTCGTGTTTAACCTTAGTATAACGAATTTGTAATTTATTTTACAACTTTTTCATATTCTACTTTAAATAACATTTAAAGTTATTAAAAGTCATAAGCACATTCAATAACTTTAAATAATTGAACAATTTGTGACAAATATAAAGAAACAGTAGTTGAATACAGAGTAAACATTATTAACAAATATTGCTCTTAATTGATCTGAATCTGATCTGATTGGAAAGCGTCGGCGGTTTTCAATGATACGATAATACCAATTATTAATATTATACTTGTTTTCCTAATTAACTATTAATTACGTCGCGTTGTGTCTTCCTGTGCGTTTCACTGAGAAAACAAATCCCACGGTGTTATTTAAGTTATGGCAGTTAATATGTATAGCATGTATAATTAATGAAAAACGAGTTTTTCGTATAATAACGCTTTTCCCCTTTGCAGACAATCATCGCAGTTCCCATTGGAAACTTGTGTTGTGTGTGTGTATGTGCCTGTGTTCTTGAGCCGAAAAATCGCCGCTTTCGATGGTTCGCAAATATTATGCGAATATGATTAATCGATTATGTAAATATTTTACTGCATTGTTCACTACTGCTGTAACGAAGGAATGCCGCTCGGAAGTGGTCGCAAACTTTTTGTTTATTTGTTTGTAATAATAGAAATCGCGGCAGACTTTTCCGATTGAAATGCGATACAGAATGAAATCTAAACTAATTTGTTTCATTCAAACATGAACCGCTCGATTAGATATTTAGGTATCTATTTCCTGATATCCATTAACGTAAATTAACCCAATGTTTATTTGATAATACGTCCATTTCTACCAAAGGAAACAGCTGTTCGTAATCGAATTTCTAAAATGTGTTATGCATATCAACAATATAACATAATTATTAATACATTGATTAAATCATTTTGATTATTTGTATTTTAAATTAAATACTTTAAAATTCATTATATAATTAACAACTAATATATATATAATATCAAGCGTTGTAACAAAATATAAAATATGTAAATATTGATGCAAGCAATTTGCTTTATTTAGCAGTGGGTCGTTAATATGTTTAAAATCGTTTACGATTTGAATATTTACATCTGCTACTGCAATTGTTTTGTTTTTATATGTATTATTGCATTCAATGTTTATGGTCGGTGAGTTTGAGAATATAAATAGCGTATTTAGGCCCAGTTCCAACCAACCTACAACTTAATAAACAACATGTATAGATAGTCATAAGTATTGCATAAAGTAATCTAATTTAATGCACCTTGTATTATTTCACTGGAAAAATTCAAAAGTTTATGTCTTTACTGTAAATGTTCAAATGGTCGTTGACCACTAGATGTATTATGAGAATATGCGTTGTATTAAGACTTGTTATTGCAGCTAATCGCAGTGTTTCAATTCTTTATATTAATGGAAAGTTTTAAGTAAACCTAATTACTTGTTGTTGTTTCTTTAAGGTAGACACAATTGAGTTTGCGCCAAACTGAGCTTAATCATTTCATCTTTCCAAGATGACGAAGTTTTGTTAACAGAGATAAAGTTAACTGTAATGCATACAAAAATCGTTTGCAATTTAATTAATTAATATCGTAAAAGCAATTTATCAATCTCACTTTACAAAATGTACATATTGAACAAGTCGAATGCAGGTGCGTAACAAATTTCAGTTGAAATATTGCGATGAAGAAATAAAAAACACATACATTGTAAACGATAATTCATCATGCGTGGCGTAGCGGAAAATTTAAAGCCAACAATTAGAGTTAAGCGGATCAACAATGATATATTACTACAAAGTGCACTAGTCTATTCGTATTTTTTTTTGTACAAGTGTATTAATTGTCATGTTTACGTAATCCGTAAAATCAATAAAAATACTGATTGGTCTGTTTAAAAGTATTGATCGTAGAGGTAGTAGTTTTATGTACCTGACCTACCTGAATAATATTTATCGTTCCTAACTCACTAACAACGCTATTCCATAAGAAACTAGGTTCATTTCGAGATTAGATAAGTTGACGAGCACGAACTTTCCTTATTTACTTTACAATAAACTACTACGAAGAGATAAAGTTAACTATATATAAATATATCATTATCTAATAAATTGTTTTTTTTTTATTACAACACGAGGTGTTGTTGATTTGAATATAATAATAAATTTGTTTATTTTTTCGTGCTGTAACACGAGTAATGGTCCCAATTCGGAGTGAATTGATGTGTTTGCTTGCATGTTTCATTGAACTAGCGATACGGTGCTTTGTGTTTGCTATAATTCTACTTTGCAAATAGCGTGTCCAGAACATTTATGGTTAGTGCTCGTTTCTAAGTAGTTTGCGTTTTGTAACATAACTTTTTATTTTGTATAAACTGAGAAAATAATTGAGACTGTAAGTGGGAAATTCCCAAATTGATGTTCAAATATAAAAACTAATTGCATACGCTTGATGATCTGAATGTAAAGTAGTTAAATGATGAAACGAGAATTTGTATAATTTGATTATTTACGCATTTATTATCGTTGTTGTGTAACACATGTTATAATCTGCATATTTTATTCAGAATCCTTAAGGAGTTGTTATTTCCATCATCATCGCCACTTTATATATTCTGCGCATGGAGAATAAAAATTTGAGAAATATTGTTCTAAACTAGTGAAGAAACTAGATACAATAGATATATTTGATAAGATCACTGCTTCAGTTGGACACAAGTTTATGTAATAAGTGGAGAATTCATAATCCACATGAAGTGACAATTTTCTGCTTCAGTTCTCATAAATCTAACAAATATGTATGAATTTAATCTTTACCTTCAAGAATAATTTCGTTCTTCTTAATGTTGTTTATTTTATTGGTATTTTTGATAACTTCGATATGCTGCACCAAAAGTGTTAAGAATAATTACAACAGTTTTGTGAATATACGCCTAAAACTAAGAAATATTTAGTATACAGTTAATTTAATCCGTTCCAAAATTTCTGGATTTTTAGTCGTATAGTGAAACATATTAAAAAATATATATAATATGTGTACACAAGTTTTAAAAATGATGTAGAAGGCGCGCAATCCGGGACTTCTCTTCTCATCATCACTCGTTATACGAAACATCGCTCGTTAAGCGAGTTATTTTTCATACAATTCAATTTAAGCGAAATCGTTATGCGAGTTACTCGTTGAGCGAGGTTCCACTGTATTGTGACATTTTCATAGATCTAAACACTAAAGAAGCAACTTAAAATTACCTTCAAGTTAATAAAAGATTTGTTAATTATTATATTACCGTTAATTATTTGTTGTTATTGTTTATAATCACTTGATGCAACCATTAAAGATGGAAACATCAAGATTTTATCACTTTTTTAAAGGATAATTTATGTTGTTTATTTTGTGTTAAACCAAAAGTGTTAAGAATAAATTCGACAGTTTTGTGAATATGTGCTAATGAAATATTTATTATCTCGTTACAGCATTTCTAGATCAAAATACTGAAATCAAGACTAACATTGTCAATGATTTAAACACTGAAAAAGCAACTTGAAATTACATTCAAGTTAACAGAAGATTTGTAAATTATTATATTGTTAATTATATGTTTTTACTGTTTATAATCACTTGATGCAACCATTAAAGTTGGAAACATGAAGAATTTATCACTTCTTTAAAGGATAATTTATTTCTTCTTTATGTTGTTTATTTTGTGTTAAACCAAAAGTGTTAAGAATAAATTCGACAATTTTGTGAATATGTGCTAATGAAATATTTAGTCTCTTTACAGCATTTCTAGATCAAAATACTGAAATCAAGACTAACATTGTCAATGATTTAAACACTGAAGTAACAATTTGAAATTACATTCAAGTTAACAGAAGATCTGTATTATATTGTTTTTATTGTTTATAATGATGGTATGTGTTCAATACAGATGTTTAACAACCAATTAGTTGATTAATAAGAAATTATTAAAATTGCATTTAAAATCTCAAAATTAATGCTTAATGCATCCATTGACGTTCGAATTTAACCGGTTTTGCACATGTTCTTCATTTGCTTCTAAACGATGATGAGATTCAAGGTTGCAATCGTGCAGCGCGCATCGATATTCACGAAGTTATCTTGTTCATCTCGCCAACAAACAATAGCTTTGAAAACACCAACAAGTTTTTACAAAAATTTGCAAACAATAAACTGTAAGTTGCAAAGCATATTTAATTACAATATTGCACACAAGTGATTCATTATTTTTTTTGTGGAATCCAGTTGTTATTTCTTTACTCGAAAGTTTCGTTTCGGGGCGTCGTAATTAATTTCCCGGAAAACGAAAATACGCTCGAGTAGTAAATGTTTAATTATCTATCGTTCGGCCATCGAATCTAACACCTCTAAATTTACGTTGTTCAAGTTTACAATTTGCCTTCACAAACTACTACTGCATTATAAAATTAGACGTTACTAATATTTAGCGCGTGCGGTGTTTACGCTGGAAGCCCATAAAATGGATACGAGTCTCTTATTTAAATGCCGATGATGATGAAATTTTGTAGGTCAAGAACACGCTAATGGAATCGCTCTTAACGGGTGCAGGAAATTGAAATTATAACACAAACATTGTTAATACAACAATATTACATTTAATCTGTCGTCAGGGATTCCGACTTAATTTCTGTTATTTAATAGTATTATTAACTTCATGATGATGCCTGTACGTTAATATGATAAAAGCATTTATATTTTTTTTATGAGCATATTATATGAGCCGATTTTATCTTCGAAACTGCACTCGAGTGATTATTAAAGCTTTCTTGACATAGTAACCAACGACTCGGGAGAGCAGGTCTTTTCGCGAGGTACTCTAATCATAGACCATCAAAGTGAAGATCCCACACAACATCCCAGATTCAACCTCATTTCCATACAAAACCAATCCTTTAAACAAGTTTCTTTCTTTTACGTTTCTCTTGTACGCAATTTAAATTCGCCTTTTTGAAGAAACTCAGATCGATGATAAACTATAATTTATATATTTTTTTTACATAATGGCCGTAACGGTTTTTAATAAGTTTAATTGAAGTTTAAACTTATTAAAAAAATAATAACTTTTATTGTAACGGTCACAATAAATACGAATTTATAATTTAAATCATAACAATAGAAGTCAACTGACCGCTCAAAAATTTGTTATTAGGTCATTAAGTATGAAATATGTCTTACCTCAAGTACCAACTTTGATACCCGATCTCTCTGATATTTTACTTTAACTGGTTTTTTTTATGAAGGTACTTCATGAGTTTCTCAGACGCACGTTGTGGTTTGTGTTATATGTCAAATTACATTTTGCAGATTACATTTTATAAACCATGGACAACTGAGTATGAATTCCAACGCTGACAACTCGAAGTGTAAAGGATATGACTAATGAAATCACATCGTTTTCTACTACAGCTTCATAACATCGATTATGGAGAATGTCTACTGTAACCAAATAGACAAATTGATGAGGGAGCTTGGGATTTAGTAGCCGAGAATGGTGAATAAAGACAAGCCATACCTCTTGCAGGATAATACTCGACCACATGTCGCACGAATAACGTTGCTCAACTGTATTTCTCAGACCTTGCATAAACTGACTATTATTGTTTCCAGGCATTGCAAAATACATTGAACAAGCAGTAGATAATGCTTTTAACGATATTATCACCACTCTTCAGTTTTTTTCGCTGCCTACATTAGCTACCGTTAAGATGGTAAAAGTCTATTGATAGTTTTGTGTTTGATATGTAATAAATCAAACATTCAGTTGGAAATTAGACATTTCATACTTAATGACCTAATATTAACAATAACGTTTTTATGAAAAGGAATTGAGTGAGGTGTTCGTCTTTTCTGTTTCCAAGCAGATTTAAGGAATCGGAATTCGCTATTGCCAAGAAACGTTATGGATATGTAAGAGAAAGGTGCCAAGTGTTGTTCAAGATTTTCAATAACCGAAATGGATGATACGCAATTGAGAGTAGAATTTCGAGTGCGTATACGACGGTTGAGAAATGCGCTCGTAAAGAATAATGCGGACTACATGGTTTTCAAGCATACCTGGTCAAATCGAGGTTAAAACAGTTTGAAAATAGTTTCACTGTTGAGTATAATGCTGAAAAAGTGCGAAACAAAACGACGGAATTGCGAAATTTGTGCATTTGATTTTATAATTTGTGCGGATTCCTTATTTTGAACGGAGATCACGTTTGGAAGAATAGAGCGTGTACGACTCATGTCGAGACAATAAATTTGCACATGCTGTGAGTGCGCGTGACGCGAAGATAATTGCAATTAATTAAAGCGAAGAGATAAGTGAGTAAAATTAGGTATTTTCCAAAATTAGAGGCGCGAGTGCGTTTTAATTTTAGAAAATCGAATAATTTTCGGATTGCGTGCGCGTAAATTGTTTGCAGTTTTCTCGGCACGTTTTGTATATACAAATATATATCCATTATTTGCGGGGGCACACGTTTTATACAAAATCCTGTCCGAAATATACAAATTGAAGATCACAAATGTAGTAGGAATATTCATGCAATAAAAACAATAATATATTACGTTATAGAAATTGCTATAACTTGTTACATTTAAATTCCGATTAATCAATTAGTATCATTGCTTTCTGTTAAATATATGCTGTAATTAAAGAATTACATTTTTTCTTTTATAATACATTCTAATTAATTAATTAGTAATGTTGGTTTCTAATAAGCTTATATAATTCAATTAATTTACTTCATATTAAATATCTTCTAATTAGAGTTTATTTATGAAATATAATTTCTATTAAGCTAAATTGAGTTTTCTTGTATCCTAGATTTACATTTACCAGTTCGACGTGAAGCGAATCTTTGTTGACTGCATTCTGAGTTATGATTCAGATTTTTCGAGACGTAATTCTTGGCCAAGACAGGTGCAAACTCGTAATAATCGGAGAACAATCTGCTTTTCCGCTTGCCCATTTCTATGAGTGCAATTTCATGACGCGCCCTACCTTACGCTAGTCACTGGTCAGCTGTGATGCTGCAGTGAGGTAAATCATACACTCAGTCTAGACATTTATGTTATATAATTTATTAAGTTGAAACATTTTTGGTTGGAAACATATTTAAATTAGAATTTGAAATATCGCTTGTATGGAAGGAGGATTTTGTTTAAATGAGTTTGAAATATTTAATTGATTACTTAATAGGAGTGACTATATTTATTGGATTTTCTATGAACTAATGAGATCATTAAATCGTTTGAATGTGTGTCAAGTTTTGACGTCTAGAGTGTACTAAATTGTTTTCGTTCTACTGTAATGCAATTGTCTTATTTTTGAGTTGGCAAAGAGGACGTAAATCACCTATCCAAGTTTAATATCCGCGTCACATGTTACTTAACTTTTTTTTATGTTTTTAAGAAATCATTGTGAGTATGTCAAATTAATTATTTAAACAAATTTATAGTATGTAGGTAATTATCATATGTTTTGAGATGTGGCAATATGTAACTTGAATGAATATTTTAGTTTAATTAGTTAATCATTTGTCTATCATTTCAGTTAATATATTTTCAATACATTTGAGTATTATTTGTTTCAGTACTTATTGAAGATTTATTTATTAGTTTTTAAGAGAATCTACTGGCTATATCTTAGCAAGTATAAATATTTAGGTCAGATTGTTTGACAGTTTAGTATATTATGGTAGGATTTGAGTTAAGTTATTTAACTCAAGTAACATCGGATTTTTCATATGTATATTACAGACGTTAGTGTCAAACATGGGTTAACTTTAGAATACAATTTTTATTACGTAATCATTGTTGCATGTACATGTTTATCATATTCAATTATCAATAAGGAAGTAGGAAGTTGAATCATTTGTAGTAATATTTGATTTTCATGTATGTATCAGAATCAACAAGTATTACGAGAAGGACTAGTATATGTTGGGCTTTATAGTGATTACGTGATATTTGTCAGGTACTTGATAAGTTACTTGGCAAATGTGTTAAGTCTTAAGCCTTGATGGTGAGTGGGCGTAGATGGGGGAGTTGCCTAACACGAGAGACGATCGTAAACAGTGGGACTTGGACAGAGAGCGGCATTTTGTAGATTGGCCACGTAGGGCGGTAAAAACTTGGAAATATAAAAAGCTTCGTTACTCATTATTTACGTTTGCAAATTACAAGACGCTGAAACCGAGTTCCCGATGCGTGAATCATATATTTCGAGATCGGGATTAGCGAGTGGCGTAGAGGCGGTGGGAGATCCGTTTCGGCGTCGCGACGCTCCACCGACGGGCGAATTTATTTCCATATATCCAAATAACAAGATGCGCCGGCGGGGGGCGGCGGCGGTGGCGACTTCAGCGACGACGTCTTTAAATTTAGATTGCGTTCGTAACCAATATAAATTTTGACACGAACTCACATACACACATACATTCGCGGAGAAATTATTTAATAAGCAAAAGGAAACTATGGGATTGACGAATCCCTGGATCGCAGCCAAATCAGCATGGCCTACCTTAGTTTGTTTTGTTCCCAGGTGGCTTAATACGCTGATCTTTTGTTTGCTGATTGGATGCGATTCGTAATTTTTCAAGTTTTTTTTTTGTTCGAGATCTTTAAATTGATGATTCGGTGCGTCGATGGGGGTGGTTTGGTTCGGTCCAGGTGGATTGTTTCGGCAAGGATTTCGTTTGCAAAGAGTGCGTATTGTGTGTATGTGACTTAAGTAAAAGTTGCATTCGGGCGTCTTCGTGAGCGGTTTCGAGAACGGCGCTCGAGCGTCGCGACGGCGCTTGGCGATCAGTACAATTCCGTCCGACGGCGAGCGTCCGGTTTTTTTTTCGCGTCGCTACTGAGAACTGAAAAAAAAAGTATAATTAAGATTGTAGCGAGAAAAGGGATAGGACGGAGCAGGAATATCTCGTGGAATATCGTGGATCGGAGCGCAGGGGTGTACCTAGGGGTATGTTTGAGCTGGTGATCCAAGGAAGAAGAAGGATCTGATAGAAGGGACCCGGGTATCCGCGGTGCTGGCTCTGCCGCCAGGAGCAGCAGCAGCAGCGGGGGTGGAGGAGGAGGTGGAGACGGCCATCATGCAGCGACACGGTGGCGGAGGCGGCGTGTGAGATCTAGCAGACCATGCCCGTGAGCACGGGATCACTCGGAGAACCTCGCGCCAAGCGCTGCAAGCACTGCGACGGTAAACAACCAACAACCTACTACTACCTACAACAAATCTACCAAAAGACCACAACAAATCTACCACCCTAACTAATGCTTTTTCACCGTGTCCGATACGTTCCATTCAAACATCTTCTTGTACATCATCCTGACTTAACCATCACTCCGACAACGCCCATTTCGCAGCACTTCTCTTCCGATTGAGGTGTATATAAATATATCCGAAAGACGTTCTCTCGAATGGTCCATCATCCGTCTCGCCTCTTCCATCAATCCTCTTCTATTCTTCTCATATAGGTGTGTGCACGTTTTTCAAATCACTCCGACTGTGTGACAAGATAAACACGTAATTATTTATAGACGTATTTCTAATTTTAAGTTTTGTTGGCGGATTTTAAAGATCTTGCGAATGTTTCAATTGAAGCACTTCTGCTTTACCCTTCATTTCTTTCTCCTTCACAAGTCGACGCGCACGTTTTAACTCCTTTATAAATATGTTGCCAGTTACGTTGATTCTAATGATCCCAAAGCTATTTTTTTACTTTCTTTCTTTCTTTCTTTCTTCGAATGCAATTAGTCAGACACTTGCCAAACTGGCCCACATTTAGTTAAAGAATCAGCCAAATCGTGTCACTCATTCATCGGTAGGAACTATTAATGAATATATTTATATATATAAAGCATTGCAGGAAACATTTTATTTTTCAAATTAATTTAGCAGTATTGGTTTCTTAATATCGGTTTTCGATTCATATAATTTTATAAAATTGCATAATTGAAATATTACATATACATATTTACTTCAGTAAATCCTTCAATAAAATCATATATTTTTTAATGCAGTCATAAAACATAGCTGAATCACATTTTTAAAGTTAATTGTTCAATGTTATAAAATAACTATAAATATCTCAATAACATTCATATTTATTACAAAATCATTAATTGCATCTTCCAAATACAAAAATAAGTGAAATTTACAAAATAATATCTTTTTAAACAAATAAATTTTATAAAACTATACAATTATATATTTGATTATGTGGATAACAGAAACTATAGGTATTGACAATAAATATATCTTGATAATGAATTTAGTAAAAATTAAAAATAATCATTTTTCTTCATAGTTCTTTCATTAATTGAATTGCGTTTGAAAGACAGAAATAACGTTGTATTTAATTGAAATATATAAGATAATCTTATTAGAATCTATTTGATCAAGAGGCAAATACCTTATGTGTGCTATCTGCTTTAAAATAATGAAAAATGGAGCAAATAAGATTTCTATTGCATTTTTATAATAATAGATACATTTTTCAAGATTCTGGTAAATTGTATGTATGTACTTTATAATGCATCAATAATATTGAATCATTACATAGAAACAAATTAAGAGACACGTCAGGACAGGTACTTTGATTTGTACAATGCGAGTTGCATCTTGTTATTCTTAAAGTCGTTCCACGCCTACTGTAGTGAAATTTCTTTGTAACTACTTTGCGGTATGTGTGTGCAAGTAAATTTAAGAGTAATGTTGTCCGTGGGAGGTAGCGTGACCATCAAAAATAAAGAGAAGGCCGTTCGAAGCCCATTGATCAGATATATTTAAAGACCGCGAATAGATGAATTAATACTGCACAGGTGTATAACTAAATGCGAAAAAAAAGAGGAATGTATATAATGCGAAGAAAAACCCATTGAAACCCGGGGCATAAAAAAGTATTCCATCGCGAAATTGCTTGACCGTATTTTCTCCTCCGATATTTATTTATCCAAATGTACCGGCTAATATGAGGTAATAATAACAGTGCGTGGGCGGATGCGAATACTTTTTCGTTGCTTTACGCCGCTTTTTTCTCTCTCAGTCTGTATATCTTTCTTTGCGTTTCTTCTTTTTCTCCTCTCTACTTGTTCCAACGCTCATTTGCTACTAAAACCGAATAAACAAAAATAATTCGTCCGCTCTAAAATAGAAGAACGAAAAAAATAAAAGAAACAGAAACAAAAATTGAGAGAGATAGAGAGAAAAAGAAAAGTTTTCTCATGGCAAATTTTTCTGTTGTGTTGTGTCGCGCAAATTGCGCCGAAGGATAGATGAGATTTTTTTTTTATTTGTATCTGGCGGTGTCTTTTTTTAAACTTGTCTTTTTGCAAATTGCTGTTGTTCTCTGAAATGTTTTACTATTTCGGCACGATTTGGTCTAGTTTTCAGCTGAAATTCCAATAGATTTGCAGCGATCTCTAAAATAAATATTCACCATTTCCTCGCCAGTATTTTTAAACTATTCTTTTTTATTTCGTTCGTTCTCACAAATTTTATGCAAAAGTTTAGTTCACTTTCGAAGGTAACGCTTAAGCTCAAGGATATTTTATTGGCCTTTTTTTTCTTCTATCTATCTCACTCTCAACTATTTAAAAATAAACGGTTTTGCGAATTGTTTAGGTTCCTTTTTTCTTCTTAAATTAGACTTCTCTAATCCATTCAATCCATTGGCCGTCTCCAGTTATATTTAAATAAATATTATATTTAAACATTTATTTATCATATTGAAATTAGTTTAATCTAAATTCTTGAATAAATATTTTCTTAATTTCAGTAATTTTTAATATTTCACTATATTTTATTAAGAAATGAAAATCAGTTGAAAGACTTTGATTTTGACAGTTACATATTTTTTTTTATAAATTCTTATAATATAGAGCATAGGTTCTAAAACCTATGGACTGCGACCCAAGATTGGGTCACGTAATGACAGCTGTCACCATGTTTCAAAGCTAGTGAAATTGGGTCACAGTACAACTAAATAGTTTGAGAAACGCTGATATATACCATTGTCTTTTGTGCTAAAACAAGTTTTTCTTGAAGTATGATGTATTATACGAAACGTGTATAAATATGTAAGTGCATAAATCAAATTATACCGAAATACAACTATGGACCTGAGTACGAACATTGTTTTTAGGCCTTTTTTTAGACCTTTTTGTTAACGCCAACACATAAATCCATCATCAAGAGTATGCGACATTTCTGCTGCAAACAAATATTTATCAAAATGCATCTTCCAATTAAATTAACAAGAAAAAACGTAGTAAAACCATCATTTAAATTGACATTTTGTGCATAAGTTCAAGATGATTGATTAAGAGAAATTTACTTTTTAATTTGTAAATATACTTCAGAAGTTATTCATCTGATAAGGATAAATATAAATGTAAATATTTAAACTAATAGAAAGAGTTGTAGTTGAGATCATTTTTCATTTCTTGACGTTTTGAAATGTACACGTAAACAGGAATGAGTAATGGACAATATTTGTTTTGTTATTTGAAATAGAATATTTTTATTTATTTATTTTTTTCTGAGACATTTCAGTTCAATTTAAATAAATTGGCGTTTCGCAAATATTTTATTTGATAACTTGTCTGATTATATCAAACCATGCTTGAATTATTTATACTCTTGGTTATTCATGTACTTGTAATGCAAGTAATTAAGGTTATTACATATAGTTTAATTACAACGTCGAGCGTTTCTTCCTTTTTATATAAATTATAATGTTGGAAATGGAAATGATGTTCACTAGATAAGCAAAAATATATACTAATTATTACATCTACTTTATGCGTTATTACAATAATCTTAACTATTAACATTTTATTCATTCAATTAAAAATAATCTTAAGAACTTTATTAAATTTAATTTACATTTCTAATTTTTGTTATAATTACATGGTACAAATTGTAAATAATTTGTATACATTTTTTTGTGTTATTTATGAGAATACTTGAACGATAATTTGAAAGATTTTCGTTGAAATTAATTAAAGAAAAAAATGTTTTCATAATATAATACTTTTAACAAAAGGTACATTAATGGATTTATAATGGAAGATAATTAATACTTTGGTAATGTGCGCATTTTGACCTTTGTTTATTATAATATTTTATTTACGAGGTAATTTAAAGGATTTATTTTCGTATTTATTTTCATTATTCAGAAATAAGCAATTATGATATTAAAATTATTATTAAAATTTTTATCGGTTAAAATAAACGTGATTATTAATTATCATTATATTTATATTGTTAAAGTATTTTTTTACGTCTTCAGTTTAATAAGAATAATAAATGTGTAGAAAACTTTTTTCGTTAATAAAAAATATAATTTTCAGGTTGAATAAATATCAATTAACGCGGCTTATAACAGATTAGTGCTATGTTTTCAATGTAATTTCTTCCCTCATAATACCTATTACGTGATCCTACGGATTAACGGTAATGTGGATTTCTATATTTATTATAATCCTAACCAGCTGAATGCTAGATTCTTATATAAGCAAGGACGATGTTTAAAGCTTAAAATCTTACACTATACAAAACCGAAACCATATGTATACAATAATTCATGTTGAGACTTTTTTGGTGGATGCGTCTGGTAATCAGGTTCGCCAGTTTGAAACCGGACTTACGAAGAAAAAAAATACAGAAAAAGTGTATATAAACAAATTATTTTGTCTATTGAAATTTCCAAAAGTTCTGTATATAATTACAGAAATGTTAAGTTGAGTGTGGAACCTTTTCTGCATACACGAAATGTAAAAAGTTCACTCAATTGCATTAGTATAAAATCGTGTAAGTAGTAGAACACTTACTATACAGTGAATCCGGACTGATCGAAGCCGGATTATGCGAGGTATTGCTGTAATTAGAAATATTTTATACCTCAATTTAGTGCTTTAATGATCTAAAATCTTTAATTAATCTGGTAAACTTCCTGTTACATTTCAACGTATAAAATGCGGCATTATTAAAATGCTTGTCGTGCGCTTGATTAAAAAATGAAAACGATTTCCCGGAAAATGTAATTAAAATACGAAAGTATCGATTTAAAATGTGCGAATTAAGGGTCTATTTATAGAAAATTAAGCACCCTTCCCCCAAACATGATGTATGGGTTTCCCGTTTGACACCCTAATTTCCCCCGAAATGCCTCTTCCTATTGCAAATTACTTTCG